GCGGCCCGCCCGCCGCGGGCACCCCGCGCACACCGACCGCCGGCGCGGTGCGCGAGACCCCTTCAAACACACACACCCCGCGACACCGAGACACGCGTGGGGGCGTCCCGCTGCTTCACACACCCGCACACCCCCCCGCACACACAGCCCCATCCCGGCGGGGAGGCTCCCGCACACACGCACACCCCGCCACACACACCCCTACACCCACACACACTGACCCACAGTGCGAAACCCCCTCAGCACATCCACACTGCTGCACCCACGCACAGCCCAGCCCGGGGGGTGAGACCCCCTCACACCACACACACAACCCCCTACACCTGCACACACAGACCCAGCAGTGTGAAACCCCCTCGTGCACATCCGCACCGCTGCACCCACGCACAGCCCAGCTCAGGGGGTGAGACCCCCTCACACCACACACACACACCCCTACACCACGGCAGTGCGAAACCCCCTCACCCCACACACACCCCTACACCCACGCACAGCCCGACCAGAAGCTCTGAGCCCCCCTCACACACATGGACGCACTACAGCTACACGCACAGCCCAGCTCAGGCGTGCGAGACCCCCCTCACACACAAACCCATCCGTGTGAGCTGTGGGAGCCCCCACTCCCACCCCACAGTGTGTCACGGGGCAGGGAGGTGTCACCTGTCGCAGGGGCTGCGTGTGACAGTCGTCTCCTACCTCTGCAGCAGCTTTATAGACCCTGAGATGAGCAAGGGCAGGCACCTGCCCGAGAGCCGCCTGCCCAAGTCTGTCCTCCGCGCCAGCGAACATGCCCAGCAGCTCCTGGAGATCAAGGTAACGGCTGCGTCTCCAGTCCCCGCTCCATGCCCACAGCTGAGCTGCAGCCAGGGCGGGCCATGGGCTCCCACGAGGCCATGGGGACTATGGGGACTAGTCAAAGGTCTTGCAACTCTTTGAACGTTTCAGCAGTCAGATCCCTCCTTAGTGCTCCATTCTTGATGGTCCCGCACTAAGAGATTCTTTAGCTATGTGAGATGAGCATCTCAGGTGAGATGCTGTCTCCTGAGTGAACACGTGAGATGGCACACTGAGTCCAGAGCGAGGACTTGCAGTGACATCAGCCACAGCTAAAGCTTCATGCACGAAGTAGCTCCCTTGAGCTCTCTGCTCTGTGCAGCCAACTTGGTGGAACACACAAGACTGATGGGAACCTCCCAGTAGCTGTGGGCTGAGGAGATTTTCCTGGTGCCCAGTAGCCCACAAACATTCGTCGTGTGTGTTGCAGGAACTTAGGACAGTGCAGCCACAAGTGAGCAAAATTAGATCCACAATCTGAGCTCCGCTTTGACACCTGGTTTGGTCTTGCCGTGCATGTGTGCCCTGGAGCTCTGCCATGCCCATGGTGTTGGATCACCAGAACCAAGAGACATGGGGACAAGCAACCTCCTTACTCACGAGAGGCTGCATGACCACAAGCATGTAACGTGGCATGAAGGCACACAGTACACCCTGGTGCTAAGGGATGACGTAAAGCTCATTAGCTTGCTCAGTAAATTCCCCTTAGGACCCCACTCATCAGGAAGTGACCACGTTATTACTGACCGGTTTTATAATTTGGGCCTTGTATGAATTGAGTGTAAGATGCGGTGTAAGTAATTGGGTGTAAGTCTAACGACTTTGCACTGAGTTAAGGAGAACACAGAAATTCAAGACTCGATGACTGCTTCCTCCTGGCCTGCTTCTTACCGTAGTATGAAATGAACAAGGATGGTCCGGATAATTTTCTCAGACCGATGTTTAGAGTGATACTCATGGATTTGGGGTTTCTTTGACTAGGAGTCATCTTGAGGGATCTGCCAGGGCATTCCCCTAAGCCTGGCATCACTTTGGAATTCTTTACTCTGAGGTTAAACTCTTTTCTGGAAAATATTGCATTTGCTTTCTTAAAGATAAAACGCTTGGAAGACACTAAAAGGAAGACCGAACTTTACCACAAACGCTTAAGGCAGCAGTTTCTGAAAGAACAAGAGAGGAAGATGGCACGGTGGAAGAAGGCGTCCGAAAGGTTTGAGAGATCTTTGGAAGTGTTCAGCCGCAAAGCTGGGAACTTGGCTGTGCCTCCAACTGGTGCCTTGTCTGCCGGGAAGTCCCAAGGAAGTAACTCCAAAGGGACACCCTCAAAACATGCAGCCACTACAGACTGAAAAGTGATGAAGGGAGATGTTTAGAGAGCTCCTCCTGCTGGCTGGTCCTGCCAAGCTACCTGACCCACCAGTTTGTTTTGGAAGCTAACGCTAAGTCTCTTTACATCAATAAACCAGCATGAGCCCACAGGATCCCTTGTATTGCTGCCCATTTACTCTCTGACCTTTTTGAACACAGATGGGGCTGCTGTGATGGCAGGGCCAAAGGCTGAGGACAGTATAGGGAGCAGTGCAGCTGCCGGAATAAAGGAGACCTTTACGAAGGGGACTGATTGCCTTTGAGGCGGTGAGGAATGATGTGAAAGGGCTAGATTTCTCTCGTGTGTGTTTGGAGAGCTCTAGTCTCGGTCCAAACAGGATACATTTCAAGTCTAATCAGATTTTCACAAATGTTACGTGAGCTTCGGGGAGAGTAAATGAATCCCTTGCTGGGGAGAAAGAAGATGGTCTGATAACTTAGAAGGCTGGAAGCAAAAAATGGATATTGACAGAGAGCCGATACCTCAAAGCAGTGAATGCAGTTAACTGCAGTACTCATCGTGTTTGCTCTCCATATGTAGGGGCTGGGTTTGTGGTGACAGGATAAAACCCACCAAGTGTCAGCTAGAGGTGTCTTCTCCGTGCCTGAGGAGACGTGGCTTCTGCTTCTCATTTGCTCATTTGCTGCCTCTCTTTACTCTGAGGGGCAGGCGGGAGCTCTGCCTTTGTCCAGCCGGTGTTGTCATTGCAATGGGGAACACTCCAGCAATTCCTGATGCGCAGAGCTGGGAGAGACGGTGCCAGCTGGAAACAAGCACACATTTCTCTTTCTCATTGATAAAAGAAATACATTAGCTGGACGACAAAAGGTGAGCGGTGGATGGGGAAGGTGGTTAGAGGCAAGTAGAGCTGATCTACTTTCTTTTGCCCTTTCCTAAACCAGAGCCTTTCAGAATAACAGCTGAGCCACGCACAGTAGGATGGGATAGCAGCTTATCACAGCAATGCAGAACTGGGAGGATTTAGCTCATCAGCCAGCCTGGTTCCTGCGTTGCTGGATTAAGGGAACACTGACTGTCCTTAAAAAATGTTCATCAGATCTGTTTATAAAAACTTTCAGTGAAGGAGATGCTACAGTTTATCTAGGTGGCCTAGTTTTCAGTTAGGTTTCTGAATTGCAGCGTGTTTTTTTTAACATTAATCTTTTTTGCTTCAGATTTATCTGATCACTCTTCATGTTTCCCAGCAGTCTGAAGAAGTAACTGGATGTTGCAAGAACCCTGTCATCCTCTCACTCAGTGTTTTCTTTTCTGAAAAAAAAAAGGATAAAAAAATCTCAGTACCTTCAAGCTATCCTGCTAGGTTGAAATTTCTATAGAGAATGTACATGATTAATGCTACGGGTGTATCTCAGCCATTAGACAGCCTATCTGACAAGTTACAGTTCAGTGCTCAAAAGAATGGGGGTGTTAGGTCTCGACTAAGCAACATTGCTTCTCAGATCATTATAAGACCGTTTTTTAAAGAAACAGCAAACTTCTCCTTCACCTCTGGTCCTTGAAAACGGTGAAATTTCTTCCTATTTTCTTTGGTGGAGATTTTCCAATAACTTAGCCAGGCTAACCACCTAGCAGAAATGAAATTTCAATCCAGTTTGTCTGGCAAAGCTACACATCGTAATAGCTAAAGGGCTCAGACGGATAAGTGCCTGGCAGTCCTCACTTTAGGGACACCGTGTTTTATCTTTGGGACAGCCCCACAATAACAGCCCCGCTGCCTTGGGCTTGCCCATCTGAGGAGGACTTGTCCCTCTCGAAAGGCATCCTCTCAAATGGGCTCCAGAGAGTGGCCAAAAGACATGACCCAAATGCTCTAGAAAGAATTGAGTTAGAAAATCTGTGATAGGCATCGGAATTGGCTTCCACCCACAAATCTCTCACTTTCTTGCTTTGCCCAAGCACTTAGGGCATTTTCTTATTGTCATTCTTTACGACACCCATGATAAGTTTGCCCTCCACTGTTCACTCCATGAACAGATCCTTTTGACCTGGGTGGTGGAGAGTCTGCCTTCAACATGCTGCCGCCTGGATCCTGCCCAAGAGCCTCCCAGTGACATCCATGAGAAACCATTAGCAGAGTGAGCTGCCTCGCGGCCCTGCATCTGCCCCCTCCCCCCCGTTTTTTTTTTTTACTGCTACGTTTGTCCAGGGAAATGTGAATTTGCTGTTCATGGTTGTAGCTGCTGGGCAAGACAGATGCTAAATGTGTTTGGTCATTTTGGCACCAGTGACGGAGCKCTATCTACCTACCAGGTAGGGTAGGCTTGCACAGCACTAAAAAAGAAAGAAAGAAAGAAGTGTGTTGAGGGTGGGAAGCAAAAAACACTATCAAGAAGCAAATAATGAAGTAAGTTTTAGAGGGAAATCAGGAGGTTGTTATCCAGG